TCTCTGTACTTTTTTCTCTATTTCATTTAGTTCTGCTCTAATCTTTATTATTTCTTTTCTTCTTCTAATTTTGGATTTGATTTGTTCTTGCTTTGCTAGTTCCTTGAGAGGCATGGTTAGATTGTTGGTTCGTAACCTTCCTACTTTTTTGCTGTAGGCATTTATTGCTGTAAGCTCCCCCGTGGCCATGTTGTTTGCTGTATCCCACGGGATTCGGTATACTGTGCTTCTGTCTTTGTTTGTTTCAACATATTTTTTATTTCCATCTTAATTTCTTCATTGACTCAATATTCATTCAGAAATGTGTAATTTCCATGTTTGCAAATTTGTATATACATATTTGTACAGTATAAATTACGTATTTATATACGTATTGCATACATCTTCTTGGTACTGACTTCTGGTTTTACTCTATTGGGGTCTGAGAAGACACCTGATATGATTTTGATTTTTTTAATTTGTTGAGACTCATTTGTGGTCTAACACATGGTCTATCCTGGAGGGTGCTCCATGTGCTGAGAAGAATGTATATTCTGCATTTGTTGGACAAAGTTTTTCTGTAAATGTCGGTGAAGTCCATTTGGTCTGGGGACTGAGGTTGAAGGATCATCACGGACCATTTTTAATCCATTTAGCTATTCTGTATCTTTTAAGAGGAATCCCTGGTGAGTATTAGTTGGGACAAGTGACCTTTTGACTAACAAAGTCGGTCACCAGAGGTTAAGAGGAACTCAACTAAACCAGGGATTAAGACTCAGATTCTTAGGATGGTCTGAGGCTCCCCCCTGGACCTGGGCCACTGAAGAAACACGCCAGGAGTGTCAGCCGGGCGAGTGGCCCTGAGAAGCCAGGGATCAGCAGAGAGGTCACATGTCATGGCTCTGCCGCCCAGCAGCTGCTCTGATCAGAGGACCTCGTGGCAATCTATTTATGGCCCAGACCCCAGACCCCCAACCCTGGGACTGACAGCTCCAGGACAGTGCCTACCAGCCTGCACATTTCTCCACGTTAACCCTCACTCCGGGACAGTGCCTACCAGCCTGCACATTTCTCCACGTTAACCCTCACTCCAGGGCAGTGCCCACCAGCCTGCACATTTCTACCCGTTAACCCTCAGTCCGGGACAGTGCCCACCAGCCTGCACATTTCTCCACGTTAACCCTCACTCCGGGGCAGTGCCCACCAGCCTGCACATTTCTCCACGTTAACCCTCACTCCGGGACAGTGCCCACCAGCCTGCACATTTCTCCACGTTAACCCTCACTCCGGGGCAGTGCCCACCAGCCTGCACATTTCTCCATGCTAACCCTCACTCCGGGACAGTGCCCACCAGCCTGCACATTTCTCCA